GTTTACCTCCCCCATGACCCCCCCCCCCCCCTCCCCCCCCCCTCCCGGCCTTTTATTAGTTGGATAAGAAAATTATACCACAATTTTAGTTCACTTCAATTTCACAGTAAGGGCAGACAATCAATATAATAGAAAATGAGTTGAGACTTACCAGTTACCGCCCTTAGTTTGACTTGGGCCAGCTGATCCATGGTGGCAGTGGACGGCTGTCTTTGGTGGGACAGCCTCACGGGAGACGCTGTCCTAGGCGACCTCAAGGCAGCTGAACCCGCGGGGTGGGACAATGGGTTCGGCGCCTCGACGGGAGGTGGGGGTGGCGGTGGAGCCGGGATGTGGGGAGGGGGCGCCTTGACCACATGGTGGTGGTCCGCCATCGGTTGGTGTCCGGTGTGGCTGTTGTGCGTGTGGAGATGTGGGTGCTGGGGAAGGGGGCTGCTTTGTGGGCTGTGGGGGTGCGCGGAATGTGTGTGCGAGGTGTCGTAATAATTACTGTGTAGCACGAGGGGGGTGGGGGAGGGGGTGTTGTTTCTTCTCGAGGAGGACCTCGATCTTGACGGCGCCCCAACCTCTAAAGGGGGAGGGGGTGGAGGTGGTGAGGGTGAGTGCCGGCCGGGGGCGTGGGACGTGGCGTAAGGTGGAGACGGGGTGTACCGGTCGTGGACGACAACGGGCGGCAAGGGCACCGGAAAGGAGGGGGGAGGTGGAATGCCGTCTTGCCTTGACCTCCCCTTCTGGGAGGCGTGGGCGAGTTTAGGGGAGGGCGCGGGCGAGAGGGAGGCTGGGGATGAACACACGTGGTGACCTTGACCTTGCTGCTGCTGGTGGAGGTAATGATGGTGATGCTGATGTTTAGGGTAATGGTAGCTCGGGACGTTCTGTTGCTGTGCTCCGGGTGAATACTGTTCGTTGCTGTTCTCGACGTTCGGCTGTTGCTGTGGAAGTTGATGGGGATGTTGCTGTGGGTAATTTTGTATTTGTTGATGTGGGTGTTGCTGTGTGTGTTGCTGTGAGTGTTGCAGTGTTTGTTGCTGTAGGTGCGGCTGTGTGTGTTGCTGTGAGTGTTGCAGTGATTGTTGCTGTGTATGTTGCAGTGATTGTTGCTGTGTGTGTTGCAGTGATTGTTGCTGTGGGTGTTGCTGTGGATAGTGTTGTGTTTGTTGCGGATAATCCTGATAATACTGGTACTGTTGAACGATTTGCTGCTGCTGTATCTGATTTACGAGCAGTTGCTGCGCGTTAGGTTCGGTGGAAGGCTTGGACTCTTGCACAGTTGGCACGACAGGTGGAGGCACGTAGGTCAACTTCGGCCGGTGCTGTCCGGCGCTCCCTGGCTGCACGAACTTGCCGTAGATTCCCTCAGAGTATTTCCCGTTCGTGGACCCCTCTTGAACCTGCTCGATCCTCCCTCCCAGCAAGCCCTCGGGCGTGGAGCAGGTCCTGTTGTCCCTGCTCCCGTTGATCCGCTGATAGATGGCGGGGCCGTTGGTCTGATCCTGGAAGACCTGGTCGTCGCCGGCCGAAAACCTGGCGTAGTCAGCCGCGGCGGTCAGCGCTTCTGACTTGGCGTGGCGGCCATTTTGGGGTGAGGCCTCCCTCGTTCTCATGGAAACCTCCATGGTGATCGGGTGTTGCTGGGCCAGCTTGGGGAGGCCGAGCCCCGCGGCGTAGGAGAAGGGTTTGTTCTCCTGGTAGCGCTTACCCGGGGCCGAGGAGACGGCAGCGCTGTGGGGGTAGGGGGTGGGCTCGGTCTGGGCGTACCCCGGGCTGGGCGGCGGGGAGGAGATGTCAGATGTCACTGAACCCTGCAATATAACATGTGTGTAAGTAAGACAGGTGACATTTCAGATGGGGTGTTAAGTGTTTTTGTAGTTCTGATTGTTTAAGTGTTTCAATAAAACTTTAAAGCCAGAAACATGTTACGGACAAATCTATCCCATTGGACAAGTCTATCCCACTGGACAAATCAATCCCATTGGACACATCTATCCCATTGGACACATCTATCCCATTGGACACATCAATCTCATTGGACAAATCTATCCCATTGGACACATCTATCCCGTTGGACACATCTATCCTATTTACACATCTATCCCATTGGACACATCTATCTCATTCGACGATTCTATCCCATTGGACACATCTATCTCATTTGATGAATCTGTCCCATTGGACACATCTATCCTGTTTACACATCTATCCCATTGGACACATCTATCCCGTTGGACACATCTATTCCGTTGGTCACATCTATACCATTGGACACATCTATCCCGTTGGACACAGTGTCGATGAATATTGACAATTGTTTTCGCCAGCCAAGATTTTGCCCAACATTTCAAGGAATTTCATTAATGCAAATTCAGCTTTCTTCGGCTAATATGTTTTCTAAGATGGAAGGCTAAAATTTAGGTCAGCCCTTGAAGAATATCGTTATGTCAACATTAAACTTAAGACTTTCTCAGCCAGACAAAATAAAATCAACTGATCTAATTACGAAGTTTAATCAAAATTGTAATGCCTTTAATAACGTCAGTTAGCCTCTTAGCAAAAGTCTTTTTTTTTTTCTTTTAAAGAAATGTAGCAAACTGACATTCAAGAGAGTGAAAAACCAACATTAAGAAAGTGAAATTAAAACGTTATTATGCATCTTGAGTTACAGAGGATTTTTTTCTCTTAACGTTAGCTGGCTCCTTGTAAGTGTTGCATCCCCTTAATTAAAATAACTATTTCTTACCAAGGCTAAACACCATGATGCACGAATATGATTTGAAAACAAAGATTCCTTTCGCAAGACCTAACACTCTTGAAATCTGTGGTCTAGATTTAACATTTGCCAAACATCTTAGTAAGATCCGGTTGTAATGCACGCCTGATGCCTATTATGATTTTTGGATAGGGGGGGGGGGGGGGGGGGTCAAGGGTGACGGGCAGAGTCCTGGGGAAAAGAAGTGAGTGAACCCAACCAAGATCCTCTTTCCAAATATATATTATTGTAAACAGTACAGTACCCACGATCTAGGACTGGACCCGTGCAGACATATATCTAGGACTGGACCGCTGAACACATATATCTTGGACTGGACCCCTGCAAACATAGATCTAGGACTGGACCCCTGAACACATATATCTTGGACTGGACCCCTGCAAACATAGATCTAGGACTGGACCCCTGAACACATATATCTAGGACTGGACCCCTGCACACGTCGATCTAGAAAGGGATCCTAGGTTTTTAAAATAACAAGCTGGTGGGGTTTTTCTCCCACCCAGGTTCCACCAACTGTAGGAAGTTTGTGAATAACGTAGGAGCCAGTTGTCATTGACCATTAGTCTGTGCAGGGGTAAGACTTTGTTTGTCTGTAGTGTGGTAGTCTGAGTGAGGGATAAGACTTTGTCTGTCTATAGTGTGTTAGTCTGTGTGAGGGGTAAGACTTTGTCTGTTTATAGTGTGGTAGTCTGTGTGAGGGGTAAGACTTTGTCTGTGCATAGTGTGGTAGTCTGTGTGAGGGGTGAGACTTTGTCTGTCTATAGTGTGGTAGTCTGTGTGAGGGGTAAGACTTTGTCTATTTATAGTGTGGTAGTCTGTGTGAGGGGTAAGCATTTGTCAGTCTATAGTATGGTAGTCTGTGTGAGGGGTAAGACTTTGTCTGTCTATGGTGTGGTAATCTGTGTGAGGGGTAAGACTTTGTCTATAGTGTGGTAGTCTGTGTGAGGGATAAGACTTTGTCTGTCTATAGTATGGTAGTCTGTGTGAGGGATAAGACTATGTCTGTAAATGGTGTGGTAGTCTGTGTGAGAGGTAAGACTTTGTCAATGGTGTGGTAGTCTGTGTGAGGGGTAAGACTTTGTCTGTCTATAGTGTGGTCGTCTGTGTAAGAAGCAACACTTTGTCTAAAGTGCGGTAGTCTGTGTGAGGGATAAGACTTTGTCTTTCTATAGTGTTGTAGTTTGTGTGAGGGGTAAGACTTTGTCTGTCTATAGTATGGTAGTATGTGTGAGGGGTAAGACTTTGTCTGTCTGTGGTGTGGTAGTCTGTGTGAGGGGTAAGCATTTGTCTGTCTATAGTATGGTAGTCTGTGTGAGGGGTAAGACTTTGTCTGTCTATGGTGTGGTAATATGTGTGAGTGGTAAGACTTTGTCTATAGTGTGGTAGTCTGTGTGAGGGATAAGACTTTGTCTGTCTATAGTATGGTAGTCTGTGTGAGGGGTAAGACTATGTCTGTAAATGGTGTGGTAGTCTGTGTGAGAGGTAAGACTTTGTCAATGGTGTGGTAGTCTGTGTGAGGGGTAAGACTTTGTCTGTCCGTGGTGTGGTAGCTTGTACGGAGGAAATACTTTATCCGGCTATAGTATATGGTGTGGTAGTCTGTCTGTAATGTGGTAGTCTGTCTGAACTGTGTTGGTTTGAACATTGACTGTCTGTTCGTAGAGTAAAAGTCTGTATTATGGCAGTCAGTATGTTTAAAATAAGACTATGTCCCTTCTTCCGTTCTCTATCTGCCCGTTTGTACAAACATATAAAGAGATCAAACCTACTGACCCGGCTCGACATGGATGACCGACTGCTGCTCATCCTGTTTCCGAGCTGCGTCTCTGGTTTCCGCTCGGGGAGGGTTGGGGGCGGCCGGCCCCGTGATGGACTGGTTGACCTCTGGGGGAGAAGAAACAGAACATTGCTGACAATGAAGACATCAAATAAATCTTTGATATTAGTGGACACTTTAGTGTTGACGTGGTTCTTTGATCTTTCATACAGGTGAAATTTGAGCCCAATAAGTTACGGTAAGATAAGTTAAGATGAGATAAGATAAGATACGATAAGGTAAGGTAAGGTAAGTTAAGGTAGGATACCTTTCTTGTATTGATCCTAAATAAAAGAAAATGTGTTTGATGACATTGCACATGCTACCCGTGTCTCACAGACACACTGCTGGTCATCTACTTCATCCTGACCTATTTCCAGTCATCTTGACTAAGTTTTGTCATTTGGAACAAATAGGCAAAGACGAGAGTGTGACGCTGACGAATCGAGTAAGTCTCACTATTGAGTACGTCTCCCTATTGAGTAAGTCTCCCTATTGAGTACGTCTCCCTATTGAGTAAGTCTCCCTATTGAGTAAGTCTCCCTATTGAGTACGTCTCCCTATTGTGTAACTCTCCCTATTGAGTACGTCTCCCTATTGTGTAACTCTCCCTATAGAGTAAGTCTCCTTATTGAGTAAGACTCCCTATTGAGTAAGTCTCCCTATAGAGTAAGTCTCCCTATTGAGTAAGACTCCCTATTGAGTAAGTCTCCCTCACCTTAAACAAAATACAGCTCAAGTCAAGACTACTACTCAATTCAATACTACTGCTCAAGTCAAGGCTTCTACTCAAGTCAAGGCTACTATTCAATTCAAGACTACTGCTCAAGTCGAGGCTACTATTCAATTCAAGACTACTACTCAATTCAAGACTACTGCTCAAGTCAAGGCTACTATTCAATTCAAGACTACTACTCAAGTCAAGGCTACTATTCAAGTCAAGGCTACTATTCAATTCAAGACTACTGCTCAAGTCAAGGCTACTATTCAATTCAAGACTACTACTCAAGTCAAGGCTACTACTCAAGTAAAGGCTACTATTCAATTCAAGACTACTACTCAAGTCAAGGCTACTATTCAATTCAAGACTACTACTCAAGTCAAGGCTACTACTCAAGTCAAGGCTACTATATAATTCAAGACTACTACTCAATTCAAGACTACTGCTCAAGTCAAGGCTACTATTCAATTCAAGACTACTATTCAATTCAAGGCCCCTACTCAAGTCAAGGCTACTATTCAATTCAAGACTACTACTCAAGTCAAGGCTACTACTCAAGTCAATGCTACTATTCAATTCAAGACTACTACTCAAGTCAAGGCTACTACTCAAGTCAAGGCTACTACTCAATTCAAGACTACTATTCAATTCAAGACTACTATTCAATTCAAGGTCACTACTCAAGTCAAGGCTACTATTCAATTCAAGACTACTACTCAAGTCAAGACTACTACTCAAGTCAAGACTACTACTCAAGTCAAGGCTACTACTCAAGTCAAGGCTACTATTCAATTCAAGACTACTACTCAATTCAAGACTACTACTCAAGTCAAGGCTACTATTTAATTCAAGACTACTACTCAATTCAAGACTACTACTCAATTCAAGGCTACTACTCAATTCAAGGCTACTAGTCAATTCAAGACTACTACTCAAGTCAAGACTGCTACTCAAGTCAAGGCTACTACTCAAGTCAAGGCTACTATTCAATTCAAGACTACTACTCAATTCAAGACTACTACTCAAGTCAAGGCTACTATTTAATTCAAGACTACTACTCAAGTCAAGACTACTACTCAAGTCAAGTCTACTACTCAAGTCAAGACTACTACTCAAGTCAAGACTACTACTCAAGTCAAGACTACTACTCAATTCAAGGCTACTAGTCAATTCAAGACTACTACTCAAGTCAAGACTGCTACTCAAGTCAAGGCTACTACTCAAGTCAAGGCTACTATTCAATTCAAGACTACTACTCAATTCAAGGCTACTATTTAATTCAAGACTACTACTCAAGTCAGGACTACTACTCAAGTCAAGTCTACTACTCAAGTCAAGACTACTACTCAAGTCAAGACTACTACTCAAGTCAAGACTACTACTCAAGTCAAGACTACTACTCAAGTCAAGACTACTACACAAGTCAAGACTACTACTCAAGTCAAGACTACTACTCAAGTCAAGACTACTACTCAATTCAAGACTACTACTCAAGTCAAGACTACTACTCAAGTCAAGACTACTACGCAAGTCAAGACTACTATTCAAGTCAAGACTACTACTCAAGTCAAGGCTACTACTCAAGTCAAGGCTACTACTCAAGTCAAGGCTACTATTCAATTCAAGACTACTACTCAAGTCAAGACTACTACTCAATTCAAGACTACTACTCAATTCAAGACTACTACTCAAGTCAAGGCTACTATTCAATTCAAGACTACTACTCAATTCAAGACTACTACTCAAGTCAAGACTACTACTCAAGTCAAGACTACTACTCAATTCAAGACTACTACTCAAGTCAAGACTACTACTCAAGTCAAGACTACTACTCAATTCAAGGCTACTACTCAAGTCAAGGCTACTATTCAATTCAAGACTACTACTCAATTCAAGACTACTACTCAAGTCAAGGCTGCTATTTAATTCAAGACTACTACTCAATTCAAGACTACTACTCAAGTCAAGGCTACTATTTAATTCAAGACTACTACTCAATTCAAGACTACTACTCAAGCCAAGGCTACTACTCAAGTCAAGACTACTACTCAAGTCAAGACTACTACTTAAGTCAAGACTACTACTCAAGTCAAGACTACTACGCAAGTCCAGGCTAATACTCAAATTGAAGCCTTGGTCATCTTCGCGAGAAGGATGAACACTAAAAAAAAATCTACCACACCAACTGCAAGAAGTACACGAGCAGATGAGGACTGGTGAAACGAAAGTTGTTAAAATCTCTTAACAGTTAATTTCCGTGTATTTCTAAGCTAAATTTAAAGCCGTATGGCCAATGACACCAATGAAGCACTAGGCACATGGCTACACCTATGAAAAACTAGGCACATGGCTACACCTATGAAAAACTAGGCACATGGCTACATCAATGAACAACTAGGCACATTGCTACACCAATGAACAACTAGGCACATGGCTACACCAATGAACAACTAGGCACATGGCTACACCAACGAACCAATAGGCACATGACTACATCAATTAACCACTAGGCACATGGCTACACCAATGAACCACAAGTACACGGCTACACCAATGAACCAATAGGCACATAGCTACACCAATTAACCACTAGGCACATGGCTACACCAATGAACCACTAGGTACACGGCTACACCAATGAACCACTAGGAACACGGCTACACCAATGAACCACTAGGTACATGGCTACACCAATGAACCACTAGGCACACGGCTACACCAATGAACCACTAGGTACACGGCTACACCAATGAACCACTAGGTACACGGCTACACCAATGAACCACTAGGCACATGGCTTCACCAATGAACAACTAGGCACATGGCTACAGCAATGAACCACAAGTACATGGCTACAATGATGAGTCACTATGCACATGGCTACACCAATGAACCACAAGTACATGGCTACACCAATGAACAACTAGGCACATGGCTACACCAATGAACCAATAGGCACATGGCTACAGCAATGAACCACAAGTACATGGCTACAATGATGAACCACTATGCACATGGCTACACCGATGAACCACTAGGCACATGGCTACACCAATGACCCACTAGGCACACGCCTACAGATCATGACGTCACTAAAAGGATCGTATTAAGGGCAGCTTTTAAAGAGGAGAATGAAAAGCTTGGACGAACGGAGTGACCATGTGTACAGAGAACAGGGACACACCACCAGCAGCAAGCACACATAAGAAATCCACAAGGACATATCAGTGATCCTGGACAGTCGAACTGTTTAAGTCCTTTAAATCAACTTAGCTTTTGTTCTTGTAACAATATTGACTTAACTGTTATGGGGGAGGGGGGGGGGGAAGAAAGAACACTGGTAAATTCTGACAGACTGGGGAACTGACGAATTTTTACCGTAGTTCGTCCTATTGAGGTAAAGAATTTGACCTGGTAGTTCTGATCCTATGTATCTCTGACGAAGTGGAAGGATCTGTGATGAAGTTAGTGGATCTGTGATGAAATGAGTGGATCTGTTATGAAGTGAGTGGATCTGTGATGAAGTGGGTGGATCTTTCATGAAATGAGTGGATCTGTGATGAAATGAGTGGATCTGTGATGAATAGGGTGAATCTGTGATGAATTGGGTGGATCTGTGATAAATTGAGTGGATCTGTGATGAAATGAGTGGATCTTTGATGAATTGGGTGTTCTGTATATCGAGTGAATCTGTGATGAATTGGTTGGATCTGTGATGAATTGAGTGGATATGTGATGAATTGGGTGGATCTGTGATGAATTGGGTGGATCTGTGATAAATTGGGTGGATCTGTGATGAAAAGAGTGGATCTGTGATGAATTGGGTGGATCTGTAATGAATTGGGTGGATATGTGATGAAGTGGGTGGACCTGTTATGAATTGAGTGGATCTATGATGAAATGAGTGGATCTGTTATGAAGTGAGTGGATCTGTGATGAAGTGGGTGGATCTTTGATGAAATGTGTGGATCTGTGATGAAATGAGTGGATCTGTGATGAATTGGGTGAATCTGTGATGAATTGGGTGGATCTGTGATGAATTGAGTGGATATGTGATGAATTGGGTGGATCTGTGATGAATTGGGTGGATCTGTGACAAATTGGGTGGATCTGTGATGAAAAGAGTGGATCTGTGATGAATTGGGTGGATCTGTAATGAATTGGGTGGATCTGTGATGAAGTGGGTGGACCTGTTATGAATTGAGTGGATCTATGATGAAATGAGTGGATCTGTTATGAAGTGAGTGGATCTGTGATGAAGTGGGTGGATCTTTGATGAAATGTGTGGATCTGTGATGAAATGAGTGGATCTGTGATGAATTGGGTGAATCTGTGATGAATTGGGTGGATCTGTGATGAATTGAGTGGATATGTGATGAATTGGGTGGATCTGTGATGAATTGGGTGGATCTGTGACAAATTGGGTGGATCTGTGATGAAAAGAGTGGATCTGTGATGAATTGGGTGGATCTGTAATGAATTGGGTGGATCTGTGATGAAGTGGGTGGACCTGTTATGAATTGAGTGGATCTATGATGAAATGAGTGGATCTGTGATGAAATGAGTGGGTCTGTTATGAAGTGAGTGGATCTGTGATGAAGTGGGTGGATCTTTGATGAAATGAGTGGATCTGTGATGAAATGAGTGGATCTGTGATGAATTGGGTGAATCTGTGATGAATTGGGTGGATCTGTGATAAAGTGGGTATATCTGTGATAAAGGTGGTGGATCTGTGATGAAGTGGGTGGATCTGTGATGAAGTGGGTGAATCTGTTATGAAGTGGACATGTTATGAAGTGGGTGGATCTTTGATTGAAGTGGGTGGACCTGTTATGAAGTGGTGGACCTGTTATGAAGTGGGTGTACCTGTTATGAAGCTTGAGGATCTGTGATGAAGTGGGTGGATATGTGATGAAGTTGGTGGATCTATGATGAAGTTTGTGGATCTGTGATGAAGGTGGTGCATCTATGATGGAGTGGGTGGATCTGTGATGAAGTGGGTGGATCTGTTATGAAGTGGGTGGACATGTCATGCAGTGGGTGGATCTGTGATGAAGTGCGTGGACTTGTTATGAATTGAGTGGAACTGTTATGAAGCTTGTGGATCTGTGATGAAGTGGGTGGATAAGTGATGAAGTGGGTGGACATGTTTTGAAGTGGGTGGACCTGTTATGAAGTGTGTGGACCTGTCATGAAGTTTGTGGATCTGTCATGAAGTGGTTAGTTCTGTGATTAAGTTGGTGGATCTGTGATGAAGTGGGTGGATCTGTTATGAAGTGAGTGGATATGTGATGAAGTGGGTGGATCTTTGATGAAATGAGTGGATCTGTGATGAAATGAGTGGATCTGTGATGAAATGAGTGGATCTGGGATGAATTGAGGATATGTGATGAAATGAGTGGATCTGTGATGAATTGGGTGAATCTGTGATGAATTGGGTGGATCTGTGATAAAGTGGATATATCTGTGATGAAGGTGGTGGATCTGTGATGAAGTGGGTGGATCTGTGATGAAGTGGGTGAATCTGTTATGAAGTGGACATGTTATGAAGTGGGTGGATCTGTGATTGAAGTGGGTGGACCTGTTATGAAGTGCTGGACCTGTTATGAAGTGGGTGGACCTGTTATGAAGCTTGAGGATCTGTGATGAAGTGGGTGGATCTGTGATGAAGTTGGTGGATCTATGATGAAGTTTGTGGATCTGTGATGAAGGCGGTGCATCTGTGATGAAGTGGGTGGATCTGTGATGAAGTGGGTGGATCTGTTATGAAGTGGTAGGATCTGTTATGAAGTGGGTGGACATGTTATGCAGTGGGTGGATCTGTGATTGAAGTGGGTGGACCTGTTATGAAGTGGTGGACCTGTTATGAAGTGGGTGGATATGTGATGAATTTGGTGGATCTGTGATGAACTGGGTGGATCTGTGATGAAGTGGATAGACCTGTTATGAAGTGGGTGGACCTGCTATGAAGTTGGTGGATCTGTGATGAAGTGGGTGGATCTGGGATGAACTGGGTGGATCTTGGATGAAGTGGGTGGATCTGTGATGAAGTTTGTGGTGTGAGCTTGGACAAATTTAGATGCATTTTAAGGCGCGCATACTTTAGTGGTTAGTTGATGACTAAAGAGGAAGATGTTTAAGGCGAAGTGAGTTAAGTGTCAACCCGACCACACTGTCTAATTCAATTACTTTTCTAAGCTATAAAAACTGAAAAAGGTAGTTTGATAAAAACGGGCCTACTGTTTAAGTTTAAAATTAAAATACGATACTATTGAAATAAAATTGTACGATGAAGTTGAATCACGCTTTGAAAAAGAGATTCAATCATTAAAATAAGAGGATTGAATCAACCAGCTGGCCATCTCCTTGGACAAGGTAGGAATTCGTTGACAAGTATGTTTCAATTTGCTCCCGGGGTAGGCTGCCCTTGATGGCACGTTGTCACTAAAGTGGTTACTGGTGATAGTCAAAAGAGCCAAAAATCAGCAGCAGGACAATTTAAAAATTTCCAGAGCCCAATTTCTTGACAAGAACCATGTTTTTCGGAGTCAAAACCGTTTTGTGGCCGACTGGCCTGGTCGCAATGTAGCGATAGGTGAGGAGACAGGGTTTAAGGCACATGTGATGAGCAATGGTTTAAGGCACATGTGATGAGCTAGGGTTTAAGGCACATGTGATGAGCTAGGGTTTAGGGCACATGTGATGAACTAGGGTTTAGGGCACATGTGATGAGCTAGGATTTACTGCACATGTGCTGAACTAGGGTTTAGGGCACATGTGATAAACTAGGGTTTAGGGCACATGTGATGAGCAAGGGTTTTACGGTACATGTGATAACTAGGGTTTAGGGCACATGTGATTAACTAGGGTTTAGGGCACATGTGATGAACTAGGGTTTAGGGCACATGTGATGAACTAGAGTTTAGGGCACATGTGATGAACTAGGGTTTAGTGCACATGTGATGAAATAGAGTTTAGGGCACATGTGATGAGCAAGGGTTTTACGGCACATGTGATGAACTAGGGTTTAGGGCACATGTTAGGAGCTAGGGTTATCGCACATGTGATGAGCAAGGGTTTTACGGCACATGTGATGAACTAGGGTTTAGGGCACATGTGATAAATTAGGGTTTAGGGCACATGTGATGAACTAGGGTTTAGGGCACATGTGATGAACTAGGGTTTAGGGCACATGTGATGAACTAGGGTTTAGGGCACATGTGATGAGCTAGGGTTTAGGGCACATGTGATGACCTAGGGTTCTACGACACATATGATGAGCTAGGGTTTAGGGCACATTATAGGAGATATTGTTTAGGACACATGTTAGGAGCTAAAGATTAGGGCACATGTTAGGAGCTAGGGTTTAGGCCACATGTGAGGAGCTCTCGAGGGGAAAGGTTGGCAAAAGAGCCTTGGCTCGGGCCGCCTCATGCGACATTGTCTGTATTGTGTGATCATGTTGGGTACAGCGATAACAATAAACTATTAAGTTTTACAAGTTCCGTCATATAACATAAACAATCTATACATCATATACAATACAATATATATATAAATATATATATATATATATATATATATATATATATACCCTATGCAATATATATGTACCATATATAACAATATACAAAACATAATATATATATCATATACAATATATATAACATTGTTTGTATTGTGTGATCATGTTGGGTACAGCGATAACAATAAACTATTAAGTTTTACAAGTTCCGTCATATAACATAAACAATCTATACATCATATAAAATACAATATATATATAAATATATATATATATATATATATATATATATATACCCTATGCAATATATATGTACCATATATAACAGTATACCAAACATAATATATATATCATGTACAATATATATTCCATGTAAAATACATATACCTTGTACAATATTTATACCATATAATATATATACCATGTAAAAAATATATATCATGTACAATCGATATTTATAGTACCTAGTACAAGAAATATCTTTCAAATCAAATGCTGCAGATGTGTCAAGCTATTTTATTGTATCTTCGCTGTTAAGACGAGTCAACCTGACAGTTATTTGTAAGGAAGCTACTTACGCCACTGTGGCCATTCGACTGGGGCGGCGCCCCTGACTGGGGTGGCCGATACATGTACATTTCCCTTGGGGAGGGGGGAAACTGGCTGTGGGGGTCCATCCTCTAGCGCCCCTCTAGAGAGTTCCAGAAGTGGGCCAAGCGGTGGATTGGTGGGTTGTGAAGGGGCGCAGTGGGGTGGGCGTGAGTTCAATTCTACGGCTATGTCGTAGGGACAAGCGGTGTAACTCTTTGGGTAAATGGTGTCTGTCTGGTCGAAGTAACCTCCCTTCATATAGTGGGCATCTGTTGAAGCAAAAAAAAATTATGAAATGAGTGTCAACAAGGTAAATATTAGGTCAATGAAAATGGTGGGTCAGATGGTAAATGTAGGACAACTAAGTTTAATCAGCACACTTCTCTCAGAGATAAACAAGACATCACACATCTGTCAGAGATGAACAAGACATCACACATCGGTCAGAGATGAACAAGAAATCATACATATGTCAGAGATGAACAAGACATCACACATCTGTCATAGGTGAACAAGACATAACACACCTGTCAGAGATGAACAAGACATCACACATCTGTCAGAGATAACCAAGACATCACACATCTGTCAGAGATAACCAAGACATCACACATCTGTCAGACATGAACAAAAATCACACATCTCTCAGAGATAAATAAGACATCACACATCTGTCAGACATAACCAAGACATCACACATATGTCAGAGATAAACAAGACATCACACATCTGTCAGAGATGAACAAGACATCACATATCTGTCAGAGATGAACAAGACATCACACATATGTCAGAGATGAACAAGACATCACACATCTGTCATAGGTGAACAAGACATAACACATCTGTCAGAGATGAACAAGACATCACATATCTGTCAGAGATGAACAAGAAATCACACATCTCTCAGAGGTAACCAAGGCATCACACATCTCTCAGAGATAACCAAGACATCACACATCTCTCAGAGATAAATAAGACATCACACATCTGTCAGACATAACCAAGACATCACACATCTGTCAGAGATGAACAAAACATCACACATCTGTCAGAGATGAAAAAGACATCACACATCTGTCAGAGATGAACAAGACATTACACATCTGCCAGAGATAAACAAGACATCACACATCTGCCAGAGATAAACAAGACATCACACATCTATCAGAGATAGCAAGACATCACACATCTATAAGAGATAACAAATCATCACACATCTATCAGAGATAACAAGACATCACACCATTCACTTACGACCTGACCTGGAATCGCACTTGTGGTATCGTAATCGTTCCTGTATCGTAACTATTGTCTCCGGAGTCGTTACAATGTAGCTATCACAAGATGTTAAAAATTTTTTTTTACAAATGATGAAAATGTTGTCCTGAAATCGCTTGTTTATGTTTATCCACAATAACAAGTTCATAACTGACATCTCAGAGTTGGTGGTCTTTTGGAAATGAAAACAACACAGCGTGTGGCTCAAGGAGCCACTTATCATTGACGCACATCGTCACAAGCACATCAGTGGTTCTTAACATTTTTTTATTTTTTTAAACGTCACGAGAGAGAGAGAGAGAAGGGGGGGGGGATATAATGATATTTCTAGCAATGTTTCCAACGTGAAGAGAAATATCAGGAGAGAGATGCGAGGAGAGAGATATGAGGAGAGAGATATGAGGAGAGAGACACGAGGAGAGAGAGGCGAGGAGAGAGATGCGAGGAGAGAGATATGAGGAGAGAGACACGAGGAGAGAGATGTGAGGAGATAGATGTGAGGAGATAGATGCGAGGAGAGAGATATGAGGAGAGAGATGCGAGGAGAGAGATGCGAGGAGAGAGATGCGAGGAGAGAGATATGAGGAGAGAGACACGAGGAGAGAGATGCGAGGAGAGAGACACGAGGAGAGAGATGCGAGGAGAGAATTATGAGGAGAGAGATGCGAGGAGAGAGATGCGAGGAGAGAGATGCGAGGAGAGAGACACGAGGAGAGAGATGCGAGGAGAGACATGCGAGGAGAGAGATACGAGGAGAGAGATATGAGGAGAGAGATGCGAGGAGAGAGACACGAGGAGAGAGATGCGAGGAGGGACATGCGAGGAGAGAGATATGAGGAGAGAGACACGAGGAGAGAGAGGCGAGGAGAGAGATGCGAGGAGAGAGATATGAGGAGAGAGATACGAGGAGAGAGATGTGAGGAGAGAGATGCGAGGAGAGAGATATGAGGAGAGAGATACGAGGAGAGAGATGCGAGGAGAGAGAGACGAGGAGAGAGATGCGAGGAGAGAGAGACGAGGAGAGAGAGGCGAGGAGAGAGATATGAGGAGAGAGAGGCGAGGAGAGAGATGCGAGGAGAGAGATGCGAGGAGAGAGACACGAGGAGAGAGATGCGAGGAGGGACATGCGAGGAGAGAGATATGAGGAGAGAGATATGAGGAGAGAGATGCGAGGAGAGAGATATGAGGAGAGAGATATGAGGAGAGAGATATGAGGAGAGAGATATGAGGAGAGAGACACGAGGAGAGAGATGCGAGGAGAGAGACATGAGGAGAGAGATGCGAGGAGGGACATGCGAGGAGAGAGATATGAGGAGAGAGATATGAGGAGAGAGATGCGAGGAGGGACATGCGAGGAGAGAGATATGAGGAGAGAGATATGAGGAGAGAGATATGAGGAGAGAGATGCGAGGAGAGAGATGCGAGGAGAGAGATATGAGGAGAGAGACACGAGGAGAGAGATGCGAAGAGAGAGAGACAGACGGACCAAGAGACAGTCCCAGAGACAGACCCAGACATGGACCAAGAGACAAACGAAGTGATCAGACCAAGAGTGACAACTAGATGACCACTATATTATGACTAACAGATGACCAACAGAGGACCAACAGATAAGCAGTAGATGACCACTAGATGACCATCTCGTCAGGTGCCATTGGTTCATGCTGGATTTATAATCACGTGATATATGCACGTGATTAAATCATGAACTATCTTAGGTGATAACATTCATCTTTGACGCCTATGTCATGGATCTCTCTTCTGAGCTGTCCTACTGATGGCATAGCAGCCTACGTCATGGATCTCTCTTCTGAGCTGTCCTAATGGTGGTATAGCAGCCTACGTCATGGATCTCTCTTCTGAGCTGTCCTACTGGTGGCATAGCAGCCTACGTCATGAATCTCTCTTCTGAGCTGTCCTACTGGTGGCATAGCAGCCTACGTCATGGATCTCTCTTCTGAGCTGTCCTACTGGTGGCATAGCAGCCTACGTCATGAATCTCTCTTCTGAGCTGTCCTACTGGTGCCATAGCAGCCTACGTCATGGATCTCTCTTCTGAGCTGTCCTACTGGTGGCATAGCAGCCTACGTCATGAATCTCTCTTCTGAGCTGTCCTACTGGTGGCATAGCAGCCTACGTCATGAATCTCTCTTCTGAGCTGTCCTACTGGTGGCATAGCAGCCTACGTCATGGATCTCTCTTCTGAGATATTCTTTCCAGTTCAATGCCATTCCAACCGTCTGTCTCTCTGTATTTCTGACTCTCTGCCTTCCTGTCTCTGTCTCTTTCCCTCTTTCACTCTGTGTTTGTGTGTGTACATATTCAGGTTCCTCTTCCATGTTTGGCGTGGTTTTCCTCTCTCTCTCTCTCTCTCTCTCTCTCTCTCTCTCTCTCTCTCTCTCTGTCTCTCTAAGTCTTTTCCATCTAGGTTAGTGTGTGTGTTTGAGTGTGAGCGTTTGTGTCTTGAGGTCCGATACCTCTGTGGTCAGTGGTATTCATCACTATCTATCTCCTTGCAGATTCCATAATGATGTTCGTGTGGTGAGATGGGATTTTGGTACGGCCCATCTATCTCCATTTCCATCTTCTTATTTTCCGATTCACAAGATAAGTTCGTGAACTTTGCCCTCTGATCTCATTTCAGGTCAGTTTCAGATTTTTTTGTATCTGCAGGATCTTTCCCCGACATGTTTTGATAAACATCTGAAATCTCCTGATAATTGGTTGAAGTCAATCACCACTTTCAATACAATTTAGTCTTTGGTTTGGAGATTTCTTGTGGGGGGCCTCCGTTTGATGTGACCTTTTTTAGGTGACCTATGACCTATGGTGTCTTCAAGATTATAGAAGTGTTGGATTGGTGTGATTCTGGCAATTTAATCGCAAACAAGTCGTGGATTCTTTTAATGATGCGTTACCCCCCC